AGGATTCGAAGAAAAACGACAGGAGGCCTGTCCCTTGGACAGAAGAAACTGAACGAGCATTTACAGCGGTGAAGGAGCAACTCGCGGATGCGACTCTCCTGGCACATCCCATACCAGCTTCGCAACTTCGTATTACCTGTGACGCATCCAGTACCGCTTTGGGAGCAGTGCTAGAGCAACAAAAAGATAACGGGTGGCAGCCATTGGGGTTCTTTTCCAAGAAATTGTCGCCTGCGCAGAGAAACTAGAGCACGTACGACAGGGAGCTCACAGCGGTGTACGAAGCCATCAAAAATTTTCGACATTGGGTCGAAGGCCGAGAGTTCATTATTCGCACCGACCATAAGCCGCTCATATTCGCCTTCCACCAACAGTCTGACAAATCCTCACCGCGACAAATCAGACAGTTGGGATTCATCAGTCAATTCACCACAAATATCCGGTACATTACCGGCTCGGATAACCACGTCGCCGACACGTTTTCCCGCATCGACACATTCACCTTCCAATGTGTATCGACCACGACGAACTTTCATCCGCCCAAGCGTTGGATGAGGAACTCCAGCGGTTGTTAACTCACAACGACACCTCCTTGAACTTACAAACGCTTAATTACGGTCCTGAGGACAAAGGAATCACCTGCGACATTTCCACTAACAACGTTCGACCCTTCGTACCGACACCGCTACGACGCAGAGTTTTTGACGTACTGCACAACCTCGCTCACCCTAGTGGTAGAACCACCATCAAGATTATTGCTCAACGATACATCTGGCCGTCGATGAACAAGGACGTCACTCAATGGGCACGGGACTGTGTCCCATGTCAGCGATCAAAAGTGGGCCGTCATATCCATACAACACCAGCTGCTTTTCCTCTGCCAGACGAAAGGTTTGATCACATCCACCTGGATTTGGTCGGACCATTACCCGAGTCTCAAGGTTACCGATATTGTATGACAATGATTGATCGGTTTACGAAATGGCCTGAAGCAGTACCGATAAGAGACATCACAGCGAGCACAGTGGCCAACGTATTCTATTCGCACTGGATATCCCGTTTTGGTTGCCCCAAACTTCTTACTACCGACCAAGGCACTCAATTCGAGAGCGCACTCTTCACATCCCTCTCGCGTTTAGTTGGCGGTAAAAGAATCCGCACGACAGCATACCACCCGGCAGCAAACGGACTTGTAGAAAGGTGGCATCGCACACTCAAAGCAGCGATCATGTGCCACGAAATTCCGCAATGGACACGAGTGCTACCATCAGTTTTACTAGGGCTGAGAACCTGCTATAAGGAAGACTTAAAAGCATCACCAGCGGAGTACCTTTATGGGACAACGCTTCGGATCCCAGGTGAATTTTTCATGCACGAGAACTCTCCATCAGATCAGTCATTTTTCCTCGAAGAATTCCGCACCCACATTCAAAAGATAAGACCAGCTCCTACTTCGCACCACTGTCGGCAAAAAACCTTTTGTTACAAAGATTTGTCGACTTGTTCGCATGTGTTCCTCAGAGTCGACGCTACCAGGCGACCGCTCGACCAGCCCTATTCAGGTCCTCATAAGATCGTCAAAAGGATAGATGAGCGCGTTTATACCATCGAGGTCAACGGCAGAGATGTCAACGTGAACATCGAACGCCTTAAACCCGCACATTTAGCCAGCGATGACATGTTTGGCAGCGCCGCCCAGAGAAGAGTTCTAAGTAGACCAGATCTTCCGCATCATCCTAGCATGTCAACAAGCCTACCCAATAACTACGGCACCAATCATTAAATTTGGCTTTTCGGGTTCCTGCATACAGCCTCATTTAGGGGGGGGTAGTGTGGGGACACAACTTGGCAAACGATCTGGCAACACAACTTCGGTGTGGCACTATTCTTCATTCCGTTTCACATTGTCATTCGTTAAAAAGTCCTAGCCGTTGCAACTCAAAAAAAGGAAATTCGCTTCTCAAGCAAGCGAGCGGAAGGTTCTAGAATTCCAACAGCGAAAACCGAAAAGAATCGTTTTAAGCAATTTAGTTAGTTCTAATTGTTCCATTCAAGTGTTAAGATTATTAATTAAACAAAGAAATAAATATGTGGTAACCCAGCTAGTCGCTACAACATGTAAACACAAATCAGTTGATATGCACTTTGACGCTTTATCCATTTTTACCCGGAGTAAAAGTCCGGGCTGTTTTGGGCAGGAAGAAGAAGACACTTACGATCCAATACGTTCCAATTTTCGCTCTCTATTACCCATTTTGTTGAGTACGGGAATGATTTCTGGGCTATTTTGGGCACCCGCGGGATCCCGCGTTACGTATGGGAAACAACCTTATGATTGGACGACAAGTGTGAAGATAGCCTAATTCATCGTTTATACGAAAACTTTAACAACAAATAATATAAGAACTATATGGTTGCTAGAAAAAAGGGGGGTATTTTTGAAATCAGGGGGTCCTATTATATCCCCCCTCATCCCCCCTTTTTCTAGAATTAGCCGTCCGTCTACTAAAATGTTCCCCTTATTTCCCCTGTTTGATAGTTTTCGTCAGTCAACAGTTGTTTCCAGTTGCCTGGTTAAATGCCAAAATAAAATAGCGCAGTGGCAGTGGCAATGACAGTTTTTAAAATCAGCTGTTACTGCTAATATTGGAAGTGACTGCCGCAGCAAACACAATACGGCCTTGTCAGTGGCTGCTGTATTTGACATTTTATTTGACATTCCATTATTTTACACTTTATATTATTCTGTGTGCTGGCGGGAACTTCACAAAAATTAATTATAAAGTATTACTAAAATGGTTTCGTTGCTACAAGAGGAAATATTGCTTTTAGATTTAGGGCAATTGTATTATGTGTACAAAAAGTACAGAACACAAAGAATTTGGACAAGTGAAATATATACTCAAGAACAGCGACAAGCTCATGAATTTTTCGAGCAGGCTTATCAAATTATAAAAACTAATGATGATTCCGAGTTCCGCAAGACTACTCGGATGAGCGTAAAGGTTTCTATTTGTTGGCATCGCTGTTGGAGAAAAAGTTAACAAGAACCTCCCGCAGGAAACCTATTGAGCCGGAGTGCCGCTTGGTGTTAACATTTAAGTAAGTTCTGGTAGTTTTAACAATACTACATTTACATTTGTATATCTTTTTGATAGGTATTTAGCACAAGGTGCAAAGTGGCAAACTATTGCATGGACTTTTCGGATAGGCCTTTCCACTGTGCGCAAAATAGTTTTTGAAACTTGCTAAGTCATTTGGGACGAGTTATGGGCAATTTATTTGGCTCCACCAAATGAATACGAATGGGAAAGCATAGCTTCGGAATTTTATACAAAGACTGGGCTACCACATTGCGTAGGATGCATCGATGGCAAACACATCCGGATTCGATGTCCACCACGCTCTGGCTCGCTCTATTACAACTACAAAAAATATCATAGCATAGTTTTATTAGCTGCTTGTGATCACAATTACTGTTTCACCGCAGTCGATATAGGTGCATATGGCAGTCAGAGCGCTGGTGGAATATTGCTAGCCAGCTCTTTCGGCAGTAAAATTATTAATAACACGATAAACTTGCCAAAAAGTGCAATTTTACCTGGGTCTAATATATCAATGCCCTACTTTTTCGTTGGCGACGCTGCTTTCCCACTCCGCAAAAATTTGAAGCGACCATACCCAGGAAGATATCTGCAAGAAGATACAAATAATTTCAACCAAATTCTGTCAAAAGTAAGATGCAGAATAGAGAATACGTTCGGGATAATGACTACGCGGTGGCGTGTTTTATGCGATGGTTTATTGTGCCATCCACATAATGCAGAAAAAATTGTGAAGGCTATAGTGGTTCTCCACAATTACGTAAAGCAAAACGATGTTGAATATTGTCCAAATACGTTGGTAGATCACTATGAAGTTGATGTTCAAGTAGAAGGTCAATGGCGAAACGAAGTCGCCACACTGCCACAAACGAGACTATTTACTCGTTTCAATGCTCCAAAAGACGCGTTCAAAATGCGTGATGTTCTAAAGGATTATATCAATAAATAATTTCTTGTTTGTTTTTGTAAATTTTTTTTAATTCAATAAAGTACACATGTTTCACAAGTTAAAGTGTATGTTATATGATTAAACAATATTAATTATAATTTTTATCAATAATGTTAATAATTTCTCTTTTGTTCTTGTACTTTGTAAGCATTTTTTTAATTCAATAAAGTACATATGTTTCACAAGTTAAAGTGCTTATTATATGATTAAACAATTTGTTTTACTCAAAACGATGATTAATCGAGTTACTTGAAATATGATTACTCAAAAAATTTAATTTTGCTCGTTAAAGGAGTTTGCTTTGGAAAATGGTTATTTTCTTTTTTACCTTCTGTATACGAAAAAAATATTTAATTTTAATTTTTGAAAACCGAAACGTTGTTTTCGAAGTACCAAGGAACTTCAACTGCTTTATATGTAAAGAGTACTGTGAAATGTTGATTACTCGTTTTACTCATAAAACAAATTACTCAATATTTTTGTTTTTGGTTAATCAAAATCTTGTTTACTCGAGTAACTGAACTTTTGAGTACTCATAATTTCCAATTAATCGAGCAATTGAGTTATTTACTTTATGATTAATTAAAATTTTGAGTAATCAATTAATCGCTTAGCCCTAGTATATTATATTAATAAATAATTTCTCG